CCGGGCACCCCGCACTACAAGGACACCCTTGAAGAAAGCTGGCCCGAAGCCGGGCGGTGGTGGCGCACGCCTTTAATCCCAGCACTCGGGAGGCAGAGGCAGGCGAATCTCTGTGAGTTCGAGACCAGCCTGGTCTACAAGAGCTAGTGCCAGGACAGGCTCCAAAGCCACAGAGAAACCCTGTCTCGAAAAACCAAAAAAAAAAAAAAAAAAAAAAAAAAAGAAAGCTGGCCCGAACTGTGGAAGACAGCTGGGAAGGCCTGAGTTAGAAGACAGCAGAGTCAGGGAGCGATATGGCTCATGGGGTAAGGTTCTTGCCTCTGAACCTAATGACCTGAGTTTGATCCCTAGGATCCACATGATGGAATTAGAGAACAAACTCTTGGAAATTATCCTCTGTCCTCCAGATGTGTGTGGTGGTGTGGGTCCCCACAGTGACAACAGTTGCCAAGGGATGACAGTGTGGATTGTGCTAGGGTCTAACTGCAGGGTCTCACTGAATACCAGGAGCTGTTTTATTTAAGAACTGGGGCAGGAACCTCATTGCAGTGTGTTGAAAAGTAAATGGGAGGTTGGAAAATACAAATTAGCAGTGTAAGTAGCTCTTTGTACATGAGGGTAGCCTGTGACGTGGTAGGAGATACACAGAAAGAGACCGTTTCAAGGTGGAAGAGATTTGAAGTAGCACATGCCAAGGAGAAAGGAAAAAGTCAACCCAAACAGGTTAAAGATACAAGAGGAGGGACTAGAGAGTTGGCTGGGCTTTTGTTCTTCTCAACATCCACATGGCAGTTGTAATCCCAGTTCTAGGGAATCTGATGCCCTCTTGTGTCCTCTGTGGGCACCAGGCACGAATCTGGTATGCATACATACATGCAGGCAAAATACTGGCGCATATAAAAATAATAATTATCCATTCTGTTGAGGGACACCTACGTTGTTTCCAGTTTTTAGCTGTTGTAAATAGAGCAGCAGTGAACATGGTTGAACAGGTGTCCTTGTGGTAGGGTGAAGCATCCTTAGGTATATGCTCAAGAGTAGTACAGGTGAATCTTTTTTTTTAAATATTTATTTATTTATTTATTTATTTATTATGTATGCAACATTCTGCCTTGATGTATGCCCGCACGCCAGAGCAGGGCGCCAGATCTCAGTACAGATGGTTGTGAGCCACCATGTGGTTGCTGGGAATTGAACTCAGGACCTCTGGAAGAGCAGTCAGTACTCTTAACCTCTGAGCCATCTCTCCAGCCCCCAGGTGAATCTTGAGGTAGATCGATTTCCATCTTTCTGAGAGAATCAGCCACATTGATTTCCATAGTGACTGTACAAATTTGACTCCCACCTACTAGCATGAGCTGTCATTTGTTTTATTGATCTTAGCCATGGACAGGCATATGATGAAATTTCAAAGTAGTTTTGATTTACATTTCCCTGATGGCTAAGGTAGTCAGCATTTCTCTGACTGCTTTTCAGCTATTTGAGTTTTCTCTATTGAGAATTCTCTGTTTAAATCTGTACCCATTTTAAAATTGGATTATTGCTAGTTTTTTGTTTGTTTTTGTTATTTTGATGTCTAGTTTCTTGAGTTCTTTATGTATTTTGGATATTAGTCCTCTATCAGAAGTGGAATTGGTGACTATCTTTTCCCATTCTTTGGCTGCTGCTGGTGCACCAGGTTCTTTGCATATCTATTATGGCTTTCAGTTTAGTGTTTTTATGGGACTCCTGACTATGAAGGAGTGAGTCTCTGGTTCTTGGGGTCTTTTCCTTCTTTTGGTTTGCCTTGTCTGTGTGATGGGTTTTGTTTTATCTTATTATGCTTTATTTTGTCATGTTTGGTTATCTCCTAGAAGTCTTCTCTTCTAATGAAAGACAGAGAGGGGGTGAACCTGGATAGTAGGGGAGGTGGGGAGGAACTGTGAGGGAAAACTCAGTTTCAGGATATATTGTATGAGAAAAGAATCCATTTTCAATAAAAGGAGAAATAATAATTATTTTAAAAGTTATACAAGAAAGGAGCCAGGTCTGGTAGCACAGGCATTAATCTCAGTTACTCCAGAGGCTGAGCCAGGAAAGAGCAAAAGTTCAAAGCCAGAATCCAAGTTCTGCCTGTTTGGGTGAATCCCTGTCTCAAAATAATCTGCCCAGCATGTGTAAGTCCGTAAGTTCAGTTTCTGATACTGGGAATGGAGATGGGGAGTCCGAAAGGTCAACAGGCAGGATATCATCTTCGCTACTTAGTTTTGTATATGCACATTTAAGACAAATTCTGATGTTCCAGGATCACTGGTGGGAAGTATGAGAAAGTAAGATAAACAAACATAGGTAGGATGGTAGTGGCCCTTAGGGCTACAGTGTTTCCAGGGCCATTCTTGTCTCTAGTTTGCTTTCTATTGTTGTGATAAAACAGCATCACCAAAAGCAAATTGGGGAGGAAAGGGTTTGTGTCAATTATACATTTTAATCACAATCCATCATTGAGGAAAGCCAAACCAAGAATTCAAGCAGGGAAGGAACTAAAGCAGAGGCCATGGGAAACACTGCTTACTGGCTTGTTCTCCATGGTTTGCTCAGCCTACTTTTTTCTTTTTCTTTTATTTATTTATTTATTTATTTATTTTGGTTTATCGAGACAGGGTTTCTCTGTGGTTTTGGAGCCTGTCCTGGAACTAGCTCTTGTAGACCAGGCTGGTCTCGAACTCACAGAGATCTGCCTGTCTCTGCCTCCCAAGTGCTGGGATTAAAGGCGTGCGCCACCACCGCCCGGCTAGCCTACTTTTTTCTTTTTCTCCCCCCTCCCCCAGGATTTCTCTGTGTAGCCTTGGCTGTCCCGGAACTCACTCTGTAGACCAGGCTGGCCTCGAACTCACAGAGATTCACCTGCCTCTGCCTCCAGAATGCTAGGATTAAAGGTGTGCACCACCACCACCCAGTTTAGCCTACTTTCTTATACAAGCTAGGACCAAATTATGGATCACCCCACATCAATCATTAATCAGGAAAATGCCCACACAGACTTGTCTACAGGCCTATCTAATGGAAGCATTTTCTCAATTGAGGTTCCCTCTTCTTAGATGACCCCAGCCTGTGTCAAGTTGACAAAAACAAAAACTGGAACATGGAATATGGAAAAAGAGAAAGCATTTGGTTGTAGAGAGACAGTAGGTTTTGGGAGGGTACACCAGGTAAGAGGAGCTGTGCTCGCCAGCAAGCTTTGAGGGCATAGTCCCTGTCTGAAGCCATACTGGAGGGAAACAGCTGGGGAAGCCAAGACTGGGTATTATCTTGAGCCTGTTCCCCAGGCCTAGGCTCTTGCAAGGAGAGTATAGCTGTCCTTCGAAAACATCAAAGCCACACAAGGATTTGAGTGAATCTCCACCCTGCTCAGACTTAGAAAGATGACTGGTTGAAGCCTCAGAGGCCAGAGACTCCTTTGTACATCTGTTCCACCCCAAAAGTAATTTTCTAGAAATGTTCAGGGACTGGCCTCCTCGTTCCCATGCTTTCTGTAACTGACTTCACTGTATGTAGTGTTTCTGCTTTTCTAGAGCAGTCCTATAGTAAACACATTGGAAGACAATAAACCTGAGTCTCTGTATGGAGGTGGGATAATATAGGTCAGTGGGTGTTCTGTTGTTTTTTAACCCAATCCTGTGGCTGCCCCTTAAGCAGTTGCTATCCTAATCAGCAACTGCAATTCAGCAGCTATAGTTCGGCCACAAGGGTTGCAGTGGGCAGGAATTCTGTTCCCTCATACACTGGGCTCTCTCAAAGGGAAACTTTATCTACATCTCTATTCCTCTATAGAACTCAGGATTCAAAGGTTGAGGTGAAATTCTGCTAGCTCAGAGAGGCTGAACTACAAGTAGCTCACCTTCTCCTCTTAGTTGCATCTCCTGAAAAACCCTCGAGACCTGCTCAGGGCCCAATTAAGAACACTCGCTATATACCTGGTTTCCTCTCTACCCCTTCCTGTCAGCTAGTTACTGACTTAGCCTCCTGACCACATGTTAATTTTATTTAATCAAACAAATGGAACATGTTTTTGCATGATAAACAAAAGCAGTAGGAAGAAATGTAACATACCTTAAAATAATACTCCACAATAGTGCTCTTTATTCATTCAACAGAGAGTGAAGTTATGCATAGTGACTCATGTCTGTAATCCCAGCACTTGAAAGGTTGAGGCAGGTGTGTTGCCTTGAGTTTGAAACCAGCCTGGGCTAAAGAATGAGGTACTGCCTGGAAACCAACAACAAAATGGGCTGTGGACAACTGCATGCTAGAGTACAGAGGCAACCAGTGCACAGTCCTCTGAGGTTCTGATCATACGTGACAAGCACAGTAGTGTAGAGCCACAGGGTATACATGGTGGCAGGCAGGCATGTTGCCTGTAGCAGCAGCTGAGAGTTCACATCTCAATCCACAAACAGGAAGCAGAGAGGGCATACTGGGAATGGTGCTGGTCTTTGGAAACCTCAAACTCCAATGACACACCTCCTCCAAGGCCATGCCTCCTAATCCTCCCCAAATAGTTTCATCAACTAGGGACCAAATTGTCAACATATGTTGGTTCTTATGGAAACTACCATAGTGCTCATTTCATAGAAGCCAGTGGTGTATACATACAGACATGAACAGTGGCTTTGCACTGCACAGATTGTGTTCTGGAACTGCAGGCAGGTTAGACTTACACTCTATTTCATCTAGGTTATTCAAGGGTTGGGAGGCTGCCCCATGTCTCAAGGTACAAATGAAGTAGGGAAATTGTTGAGTGTCATCCACAAAGGCAGCAGTCCACACCTTCCTCACTCATACCATACAGCTTCATTAGATCACGTTCTCCCTGGCCCCCATGAGCGTGTGTTTATGGAACTCAATTGTGATAAGCACATATTCTACCACTGAGCTCCAACTCAGGTCAGCCACTTTTAGAAGAACATGATACTTTCAGTGCTTTCAGAAGTCAGAGTTTAACCCTTATATCTCCACTTCAGTGCCAACTACCAGCTGCCAGGACCCTTCTCCTCTCTGGAGTCTAGCATTGAAATCCTGAAGAAGAAAGCCCAGGAGCTGATTGAAAACATCAATGAGAGCAGGCAGAAGGACCATGCACTCATGACCAACTTCAGGGACAACCTCAAGATGAAGGTGACAGAATCTCTCAAAGGGAAGGAAGAACCTATGGTCTGACATCTGTTGGGTTCCAGGGACCCTGTAAGATGCTCTGCACACAGTTCTCATTTTATTCTAGAACACTCAATAGATTGGGCCCATATCATAAATGAGAAAACTAAGGCTCAGAAATGAGTGTGTTGTTTAGTGGTAGAGCATTTGTCTAACCTGAAAACGGCTATTGGTTTGATACCTCATTACACACACACACACAATTTTTTTTTTTTCGTTTTCAAGACAGGGCATAACAGTCCTGACTGACCTCGAACTCACTGAGATTTGCCTGCCTCTGACTTGGATTAAAAGTCACTGCTGGCCACATAAGCAATTTCTAAAGTGGTAAAACCAGGTATGGTAGCTCTGCCTTTAATCCCAGTACTTAGGAAGCGAGGCAGGCAAATCTCTATGCATTCAAGACCAGCGTGGTCTACATAGTGAGTTTCTCTCTCCTTCTCTTTCTTTTTCTTACCTTCTTCCTTCCCTTCCCTCCCTTCCTCTCCTTCCTTCCAAGTTTTTTGAGACAGGGGTTCACTATATAGCCCTGGCTGTCCTGGAACTCACTCTGTAGACCAGACTGGCCTCGAACTCAGAGATCTGCCTGCCTCTGCCTCCTGAGTGCTGGGATTAAAGGTGTGTGTCATCCACTGACCAGCATACATAATGAGTCCATGCCAGCTGTGCTACATAGTAAGAGTCTGCCTCAAAAAAATTAAACAACAACAACAAAAAATTGGGGCTCAAAATGGCTCAGCAGTTAAGACCACTTACTGTTCTTCCAGAGGACTGAGTTTGACTCCTAGCACCCATGTCAGGTAACAACTGCCTGTAACTCCAGTTCCAGTAGATCAGATGTCCTCTTTTGACCTCCAGTCACTAGGCATGCATGTTACAGACAAGCAGGCAAAACACCCATATCTTTAAAAATAAAATGGTAAATGACATAAGGGAACTAGACTCAGGAACCTAGATCTATCCACCTCAATTGGAGTCTTAAGCATGCTAGATAAGTATTCTAATACTGGGCTTTTTTATCTTGAAGCAGGGTGTCACTTACCCTGTTGGCCTTGAACTCACTCTGTAGTCCAGGCTCCTGCCTTGGCTTTCTAAGTAGCTAGGATTACAGACTGTTCCAGCAGGCCTGGTTGTAGCTTGCGCTATCTTACCCATGGTCTGGGATGAGATAGTTGGCTCTATAGCACACGTGGCGCTCATCCCTTGAGCTATGCTTGCTGGAATGCAGTATCAATGGCTGTGCCTGATGCTGCTTGAAAATGCACAGCCAGCAGCCATGAACTGCACTGGTCCTGGGCTCTCAGTCACACCTTTTCTATTTTAAATACAGATAGTCTTTTCTTAGTATCAGAAAGAGGATTGGTTCCAGAACTCCATGGATGCTAGTCTTCACAGATGGTGTTCAGGTCTCTCATTCAAATGAGGTAGTGTTTGCATAGAACCAATACATGTCTTTCTGTACATTTTATTTTGGGGTTTTGAGGCAGGATTTTGCTATGTAACTCTAGATGACCTGGAACTCAATGTAAAGCCCCAGGAGACCCTCCCTCCTGCCTCTGTACCAAAGGCTGGGATAACAGATTTGTACCACTACACCTGATTTCCTACAGATTTAACTTTTCTTGTTGATTTTTTTAAAGTTTTATTTATTTATTATGTGTACAATGTTGTGCCTGCATGTATGTCTACAGATCTCATTATAAATGGTTGTGAGCAACCATGTGGTTGCTGGGAATTGGAACTCAGGACCTCTGGAAGAACAGCCAGCGCTCTTAATCTCTGAGCCATCTCTCCAGCCAACCTGTTGATTTTTAATCATTCCTAAATTTAAGATGATGAACCAACTGAACACACATTTATATCTTGTTTGAATAAATAAAAGAAGCTAGGGCTGGAGAGATGGCTCAGTGGTTAAGAGTTCTGCCTGCTCTTCCAAAGGTCCTGAGTTCAATTCCCAGCAACCACATGGTGGCTCACAACCATCTGTAATGAGATTTGGTGCCCTCTTCTGGCCTGCAGGGATACATGCAGGCAGAGCACTGTATACATATGAATAAAAATAAAAATAATAAAAAAAAAGAAGATAGGCATATGGCATATCCTTATAATTCCCAGCACTTGGGAGGTAGAAAAGCACTAGGGTCCATTCAAAACCAGCCTCAGCTGCATAGCAAGTTCAAGGCCAATCCTGACTATGTGAGACTGATGATCTGAAACAAAAGAACTGAGACTAGTGTGTGCACCTGTGTGCATGTAATCCCAGCACTGAGGAGTGTGAGACAGGAAGGCCGATGAGTTCAAGCAAGACCAGCCTGGTACAGGCAGGGCCATGTCTCTAAAGAAGTAACGCATAAGCAAAATTTTGCCTACAGTGAGTACAATTCTTTGTTACTCTCTAAAAGGTCTCGGATCTGACAGAGAAATTGGAGGAGAGGATGTACCAGGTGTACAGCAACCACAGCAAGATCATTCAGGAAAGACTCCAAGAATTCACTCAGAAGATGACAAAGATCAGCCTTCTAGAAATGGAACTCAAACAAGTCTGCCAAACTGTGGAAACTGTATACAAGGACCTATGTGTCCAGTCTGAGGTAAGAGTTCAGAGGTATCCTGTGAGGAAAGAGACCTGGAATGACTCAGCTGAGAGTACATATGAACAGCAACCAGACCTTTTCCTTTTTCCCTGCATTGCTGGGAATGACATCCGGGGCACATGGATTTGCACATGCCAGACAAGTGCTCCGCCACTGATAGCCACCCTAACTCTAGGAAACAGGCCTGTTACTAAACCCTATACTGCCAGTCCTAGCCCACAGGGTTACAGTCCCTCCAAAAGCCCTTGGTGCTCTGTCACCTTCTGGGGTCCCAAGTCACATAGTCTGGACTGAGAAATCTGTTATCCATGTTATTGTGTAATTAGTTAGCTGTATCATGAAAGAAAAACAAAGTGTCCCTACCAGTCAGAGACTGTCTAGCTCAGAGTCTATGAGCTATTCCAGAAAGACAACCCCAGGCATGTTCATCCCTCCTATGTGAAGCTCCCCAAACTACCACTCTGTGGTTACCAGAAAACCCAGACCAACCCCAATGAGTGAGGCACAGGCTCTTTATTTTCCTCTTATCTGGTTGGTGTTGAACACAGAAGGTACTGCCCCTGGGATGGAGGCAGGAAGGAAGGCACATTGTAAACTCCAGAGCACCTTCTCACAAGGTCTGCTCCGCTTCACTTACTGGCTTGTCTTTCTCTCCTCCCCCAGTTAGAAGAAGCTGAAAACAAGGTAGATGGAATCTGATCTCATTTTTAAAAGGCTACAGAGAATTGTTTCTTTTTTTGTAGAACATATCTGAACATCTCTCAGAAGGAAATTTCCATAGTCTCAAACCAGTGTCTCACTTTCCACCATAAAAGCTGGGTCCGTCCACCACTTCTTGAGCAGACTCAGAGCAGTGTGTGGTGCTGCCAGGATCTAGCCAAGTGTTTCTCCGTTGAAGTGTGTTCACTTGCCAACTGTGAATGCCTGAATCCCAGTAATTGCTCTCCCAAGGATCAGAGCGTGAATGTCATGTGTACCTGTGTGAGATGAATGTTAGAACTTGTTTGTAATCTTCAGCTCATAAATGACCTTTAAAGTCACGTCTCGTGCTGCCCTAGGTCCCCACTTTAGAAGAGCAGGTGGTGAATGCTGACTGCTGTAAGAAGCTCCCGTTCTAATGACAGCCATCAAGAAAAAACACAGAGCCCACTGAGCCATACTGAGTTTTTTTTGTTTGTTTGTTTGTTTGTTTTACAGTTCTGTACACACCTACAGTTGACTAAATGTTTAAATGTTTGATTTCTACCCTGGCCTACTTTTGTCCAGAATTGGGAAAACTGATCATCTGTGCAAAAACATGGATGGTCCTTTGCTCCACCCCATCTTTAGGGACGGCAGCAGAAACCAATAGTTCCATTTTTACACAGTTAAATGATCCATTTACTTTCAGAAGCCCAAGTTTGACCCATCTCAAATCATGCTCACATTGTAGGATCTCGCCCACTTCTCCCTCTCACTGTTGCTGGAATGTTTCATCCCAGTAGCCTCAGATAAACACTGAAGACTGCAACTTTCCCTTGGTTCAAACCCTCAGTTATTGAGGCGTGAAAATATTCCATACATTCTGCTTTTTCTGTCTAGAAGCCTCTCTGCCCATGAAGCTAGTGTCTCATTGTGCACGGCTCACACTGGATATTCCTCCCTTTTAAATACTGGTGAGAAATACGTGAGTGTAGGTGCACGTGCCACGACACATCTGGAGGCCAGTGGGCAGCCTCAGGTCTTGGGCCTTACCTGAGATGGGCTTGTTGTTGTTCACTATGTGTACCCAGGCTGACTGGTATGAGAACTTCCAGGGATTTGTGCCTCAGTTTCCCATTTTACCTAAGAGCCCTGGCTTTATAAGGGCTCTGGATTTAAACTCAGGTTCTTATGTTTTTATGACAACATTCTTACAGCCCTTCTTCCCCTGTCCCCAGTATCATTTTTCAATCTTTTTCCACGTTAGTCCTAAGCCATGGGTACAAGACTCCCATAGTCTACAAACAACTTTTCCTCTGAACAAAGTTGTGATACAGTGTGCTGTTCTTTTCCTCACACCCACCACCAGGAACCATGCCTATCTCTTGGCGCTTTGGTCCTAGGACTGTGTCTCCTTCCATGCCCTGTGCCACGATGAGAACAAGGGCCAGGAGCATCTCAGGTGCTCACTGGGACCTCTGAAGTCATGCAGTCACTCCCATATATACTTACTCCTACAACATCTGTGGAGTAACTCTAGGTAAGGGATAGGAGGAGCTAGAGGATGGAGCTGTGCTATTCTGGCTCCTTACTGCTGTCTCCCTCCCCCAGGCCACTGTGACACCCTCTTCCCCAAGCCCAGGGTCCAGCTCTGACCTTCGTAAGTGTTCACGGCCTCCAGATTCATTGCGTGCCGGATTACATGGTATTCATCAGAAATCCCATTTCCTCCCAGGATGTCTCGTGCCTGGCGGGCAATGTCCAGTGCTTTCCCACAGTTATTTCTCTTCAGCAGGGAGACCATTTCTGGAGTAGCCCTGGGAGTGGCACATATGTTATAAACATTGGGTCTCATGCACTGGTCACATCCAACAGATGGAGCACATGTCCAACTGGCAAGGCTATCCCTGATCTAACCCATCTAAACCAAGAAAGAAGCTGTGTCCCTGGGGCCATCAGTTGGGAAGGACCACAGAAAGGGCCCAGGATTCAATCGTAGAGTATAATCCCTACTTGTCCTGATCCTTTAAACGGCCAAGCTGCAAACAAGCGTGGAGGCCCAGTGTGATCTCGGTGAGCATGTCTGCCAGCTTCTTCTGAACCAGCTGGTTCCTGGCCAAGGGGACGCCAAACTGGATCCTAGAACAGACAAGGTCAAATGAGGGCCTGTATAGTTCAAGAGGCTTCCCAATTTATGATGACCCTGCTATTGGCTCAACATTTTAACTGCTCAGGATGTCCTGAGCCAGCTCAGAACAGAGAACTTAAACCTGGGTGCTGGGGAAGTCACTGTTGGGGAACAAGGTGAACTCCAAGACCCTCCACACCCCTCAGGTGTTACAGCACCTCCACACACCTGTCCAGGGCGTATTGCCGGGCTGTGTGCAAACAGAACTCAGCAGCTCCCAACACACCCCACGTGATGCCATATCGGGCAGTGTTAAGGCAGCCAAAGGGACCCTATAAGATCAACAAGAAGTCTCAGTCAGCTGAAGGTCTGGGAAGAACCAACTGTGAAAGAAAATCCATTTTCCAAATGTCCCAAACAAGGGAATCTACATTTAAATCACATAGGGTGTGTACATCAAAACTGGGGTGCAGCAAGCCTTTCAGTGCCTTTCCATTCTGTGTGCATGTAGTCCTGTACAGCACGGGGCCTGACCTCAGTGCTCAGTATGCATAAAGCTGGCAGGAGACAGGAAGCTGCTCAGACAAGCAGTGTAGAAAGTGGCCCAGGGCCCATATATATCTTGGGCAGAGCCAATGAGTAAGGTGGTATCCCAAGAGGTACAATTAGCACATCCATGAACAGGGAGCACCACAAACTCTTGCACAAGGACCATTATATTTGCTCTCCACTTGAAAAGGTGAGAAAGCAGGTAACCCCCACCAGTACCCAAGGTGTCTACCACATACCACATACCGCCAGGCTGGACACATTAGGGAGCACATTCTCCTTGGGCACCTCCACGTTCTCCATGATGATCATACCAGTAGACGAGGCTCGTAAGGAGAACTTTCCCTCAATCCTAGGGGCTGAGAGGCCCCGCATTCCCTTCTCCAGCAGAAAGCCCCGAATACAGTTATCCTCACACCGAGCCCATACTACGAACAGGTCAGCCACTGGTGAGTTGGTGATCCTGGGGACCAGAAAGTTATAGAGGGATCTGGCTGCTATGCCCACACTGTGTCACCCACTACCACCTGGGGCCCTCACCAGGTCTTGGTCCCATTGAGAGTGTAGCTCTGGTTTGATGGATTGTGGTGAGCTCTGGTCTCCATGCCACCTGGGTCACTCCCATGGTTGGGCTCTGTAAGCCCAAAGCAGCCCAGAAGTTCACCCTTGGCTGCAAGCACAAGACAGGTCATAAGGCTACCAGGCCTCATTCATCTGATAAATTACCTTCACCACTGAGCCAGGCCTATAACTGAGGCACAAGACAGGTCATAAGGCTACCAGGCCTCATTCATCTGATAAATTACCTTCACCACTGAGCCAGGCCTATAACTGAGGCACAAGACAGGTCATAAGGCTACCAGGCCTCATTCATCTGATAAATTACCTCACCACTGAGCCAGGCCTATAACTGAGGCAGATACTCCCTGCCATCGTTGCACTCTGAGCTGAGGAAGTGGTCCAGGCCATAATCACACTGTCATAATGTGAGAGAGGCAAGGAAGGAAGGGGTTGGCAAGAGTGTCTTGAAGGGCACTAAGGTTTAGCGGAAGAAGGAAGTTTTTCTTGTTTCTTCGTTTTGTTTTTGAGAAGAAGGTCTCACTATGTAGCCCTGGCTGTCCTGGAACTGTGTAGACCTAGCTGTCCTAGAACAGAGATCCACCTCTTAAGTGCTAGGATTAGAGGTCTGTGTCACCACACACAGCCTGAGGAAGGGTATGAGGAAGAGTAATCGCCAAGGTAATGATTATTTGGAGAATCCCTAGTAGCTGAGCAGTCAAGAGTGACCAGAGGGATGCGCATGGTCATGCATGCCTTTAATCCTGGCTCTTCTCTCTCCCTCAGGAGACTAAAGAAAGTAGACCTCTTAGTTTGAGGCCAGCCTGGTCTACAAAGCTTCAGGTTAAACAGGGTTACATAGTGAGGCCCTGTCTACAAATAAAATCGGAGAAGTAGAGGAAAGGTCTTGGGCTTGCTCACAGGCTGCATGGACCTGGCTAGCAGTTAAGACTTTCAACTTTGGGCTGGAATGAGGAGACCAGAGAACAAATTCAAGGGGAGATGATGATGGCCACGGGTGAAGTCAAAGGGGAGGTGAGGAGGAGAAGGCTAACAAAGATGGCATGGGATAAAGAAACTGAGCCCTCAGGCCTGGCAAGGGCACAGGTGGTCTGAAGGAAAGAAGCCAGGCTGTGGGGACACTGGGATCTGCATTTTAGACCAGGCGGACTTCCCTCCACCAGGTAGCAGTTGCTTACCCAGCCGGGGCAGATACTTTTGCCGCTGCTCCTCGCTCCCATAGGTATAGATGGGGTGCATGACGAGGGAGGACTGAACACTCATCATTGACCTGTAGCCGCTGTCCACCCTCTCCAGCTCTCGGGTCAGGAGCCCATAGGCCACTGATGATACTCCAGCACAGCCATACCCTGGTGTGGAAGAGGATCAGGTAGATCAAAGATGACCAAAGTTCAGCCCAGCTGGGACTGGGCAGAGGGCCGGGGTGGAATGTTGGGAGTAAGGACTGCAGAGTATACACAGAAATGCCTTTACCTTTGATGGTGGGTCCCAGCACGCCCAGCTCCCCCATCTCATACACGATATCCCGGTGAAAAACTGCAGAGATGGGTGCGAGAGTCAAGTCCCTTTTCAGCTTGATGGAGTCCCTGACTCCAGGGACAGAGCTAGCGTGTGTGCACTACAGCAGGTGCAAATCCTGTGTGGTTGAGGAGCCCAGGGTGCCCACCCTCCACCAGGGCACCTTCATTCCGATTGGCCAGCAGAATTCGAGGCATAAGTCGCTCCTGGCAGTAGTTGCGGAACGTGTCCCTGATGAGTTTCTCATCGGCGGTCAGCTGTTCCTCCAGCACCAGTGGGTCCCTCCAGTCAAACCCAGGACGAGAGGCTGGGTAGGGCATGGAGTTCGAGTCAGTCAGACCCCTGCTATCTGTTCCAGATTTCTTATTTACTTCTAAGTTTTTCGAGATAGGATTTCTAGAACTGTGTAGCCCTGGCTGTCCTGGAACGCATTCTTTAGACCAGGCAGGCCTAGAGCTCACAAAGATCCACCTGCCTCTGCTTCTCCAGTGCTGGGATTAAAGGCGTGCGTGGTGCGTCACCACGGCCCGGCCCTCCTCCAGATTTGTAAACTGCACCCATTCTCCCTATCTCGCTCCAGGTGAATGCTGGTTTCAAAACAGTCTGATAAACATAACCTTTCTCTAGCCCAGTAGCGCTTCTGACCCTGGGCACAACCCAGCCTCCCTTCCCTTGCAATCACAGAGACCACCAAAGGTCAAGGCAACAGCTGGATAGGGGTTAGGGGGAAAGGAGATTCTTTTTTCTTTCTTTCTTTCTTTCTTTCTTTCTTTTTCTTTCAA